TACCTTTCCTCAGACAGACCAGTGGTTTCTACTTTGGTAGACACAAGTTCTTTTTCAGTTCTTACTGAGTAGGTTGCTTGCGTAGAAGTCCTGAATAATGAGTCAAAGAAAAAAGTTTTTTTAGGAAATCGTGTATTTCAAGAGTAGAGTAGGAGTAGATTCAGGTTAATTTTACCCTCTCTGGCTTTCTTCCTCTCAGCCACCACTACCAAAAACTGCACTGACTGAATTGCTATTTTGGGCAATTCTAAATGTCAAGTATTTGGTGCTGCTAACAAATGATGATAGCTGTGAGAGAATTTGTCCCATAGAACATCTTCGTGGGATGTGTGAATCTCAGGTAATTTCCTCTTTGGCTTAATGAGCATAGAAGCTACAGATTTGTTGTTGTTATTAGGAGAGGAAATCCTGTTACAGATTTGTTCTAGCACAAGTACTGCAGTCTTGCAATGCAGTTAATCATCACTGGTTTTAATTAGAGGGGGTTGACACCTCTTTTCCTTTTCTCACACAAACGTTGAATCACTATTTAGCCAGCTGATACAAAGAAGAATATCTCTAGCAAGAGATTGCCCAAACCCCATTATTAAGACTCAGTATAAAAGGTAAGACACTGAATTTTGGCCCTGGCTGTGAATTGCAGAGGAAGAAGGATCCAAATTTCAGTCCTTGATATCTTAGCTACACAGTGTGGCTGTAGGTCATAAGGTTGGGTGAGAACAGTGTATCATCCTCTTCTTCTCATCACTGTCCTCTCTGCTTTGTGACTCATGCCAAGGTTTCCTTGTGAGTCCAGTGCTTCCCTTTTGGATGTCCTGGAGGGCTTAGGGATCAGCTGAAGGAAGTGCTCCTGCCTTGCTCCAGGCTGAGCCACCACTGTTGTAGTATAATAATACATTCTGTGCACAGAAAGTTTGTCCACTGGGATATCCTGGAGCTAGAATCTTCAAAATCTTAATATTCAAAATGCTGTTTGAAGTGAAGGGGTGATGTCTAGGGCTTATCATTGATATCTCTATGTGTTGCTGTTCACTTGTCATTGGTGTTTTGATTTCAGCTTTTATCTTAGTGACATTTCCTAATACTTTTAATTGTCAATGTTCTCTTCTAAATCCTTTCCCATTGAAATAACTGTTACATTGGATAAAACTGAACATATGGTTTCTGCTCATACATGGAATTCTATCAGGAACTGTTAAATAGGTTTTGGTGTGAAAGCAGAGTTAGTCTGAGCTGTTTTAACAGGGCAATTAACAATGAAGATTCTTCTCTATCTACAGGTATTAACCAAAAAAGTCCATGTCAAATACCAAAGTACAAATACAGCTGAAAATTGACCTCTGCTTCCAGGAAAAAAATACTGCATAGAGGATGTTGCCATTATTGCCATAAACTCCTCTTAATGAAAATATTTTAAGTTTGTTTTTTGTTTTTTTCTAATACAGTATTTGCAGAAACAGAGTGCTTAAAAGTGGGTTTCCTCTCACCTAATTCTTGGTATCTAAAAATAAAAGAGTAAAGTTTCTCTGCACCCCCTGTGACAGCTGAGGAGAGACAGATATGTCTGTTGGCTATTTATCCCACCCTGAGTGAGGTGTCTGAGCTGCATGGGATGAACTGCTCTCCAGTAGTCCTGTCCACAAGCACTGGGAAACAGGGGTTCTTCCATGAATGTTGTGTCCTTCAAATGTGTGGCTATCTTAGGGGGTTTCCCTGATCTTTACTGGTTTATTTCAGTTTTGAAATCACCCCTTCCCTCTCCAGAACTTCCTCTCTGAGGTTCCTTGTCTATCTCCAAAGCAGTTTATGTCTGGGTTTAAGGAAGGAAGAGGAAAGGAAAATGATTGGGCTAGGGGCTTTGTTTGGTTGGTTGGTTTTTGTTGTCTGGTTTTTTAATAAAAAATGAACTTTTGAAATAAGACAAACAACTTTGTATCCCCTGATTATTTGTTTTATAAGGAGAGGAAGAACAAGCAAAGATCATTCAGTATGTTAGATTAGAAATTGACACCTCAGAGACTTGGTACACAATAAAAGTTGCTTGCCCAGGAGGTTTTACTTAGCAAGGTGAAATTTCTCTTCAGAGTAGAGGTCAAATGTTTCAGGATTGCAAAGGGTGTGCTAGAGAGGTAGGAACTCCAAACACGATTAGGAAAAAAATGCCTCATTTCTCTGAAGTGTACCAGTGATCTGGCCTTCCAGATGCTGTTTAGCTGTAGGTACACTTTGTAACTTCCACTTTTTTTAATCTTATATATACATTATTTTGGTACACCATGGATCTTCAGGATTGCTTATTTAGGAGAGAGCAAGAGATTCCAGTAGCCAAGATGGCAATTATGAGGAAACATGAAAAGGGGCCAAACGATAACCGCCAAACTTCGGCTGTTTTGGGAACAGAACTTTGGCAAAATTCCTTCCCTGGATTGCTTATAATGCTTTTAAGAGAATAGTTCAGAAGGATAAGGACTCCTGAGATCTGGTGTCTTCCATCAGACTTCCTTACTGACTCTGTTGGGGAAATCTTTAGTTTTAGAAAATCAAGTGTCATGAAAGACTGGCTTACTGAAGTTGACATACTAGAATAAACTGGTGATTCATATTAGTGGGAAGTGGAACAGTAATCATTTTAAGTGTGCTGAAGGAGTTTGGTGAAGCTGCTAATGTACAAAAATATTCTGATTATAAAGAGTTAGAAAACCGGGTTGCAGTAAAAGGTATTTGTACCTTCAGAGACTGGGGGAGGATGATCTTGCTGAGGTCTGGGTCTCAGAGCCCTATGATAGCTAATCAGAAGAGCTTAGTAAAGTTCAAAAATAATTGGGCTGTTGGATCTATAACATTCATTTATACAAGGAAAATACAAACAGCAAAACACAAAATCTGGCTGGTAGATCAACAGCCTTGTTTTATTGTTACAAAGTGAGCTGAGTTAAACATAATTGTAAATGAACTTAACACAGCAGGGGAAAAGCAGTGCAGCTTCTGTGAAGGAAAACTGAGCTGTGCACATCTGTGCAGATTAACATGAATGAATTAAGAAATTACTCTCTCATACATATCTAAAAGCCTTGAAAGTAAGGTGCTCTGGTTTTCAGAATGCCACAGTTAATTCTAGGTATGCTTTAAGACTCCTCACACAGCTGTTAAGTATAGTTACTAATAAATTTGATTACTTTAGCAGTAGCTGAACAGTATGAGTTGTGTAAAACTTTTGACTGGTTCAGAATTATTCAAGTAGCTGAGTGTAAGAGAAGACTCTGTGGTGTTCCCTAGGGATCTCAGAGGAGGTGGGCACCTGGCAGTCTGACACAGCCCAGGTTGTGCAAGCCTGTGTAGAAAAGGTCTCTGTTCTCCAGTAACATCTACTGTAGCCACAGCTGTGTGTTGAGACAAGTCCTCACACAAGTGTCACGCTTCCAAACTGCAAACAGTGCCCGACAAAGAAAATAGAATGGAAATATTTTCCACTGGTATTGGAAAAGTCAGTGTCAGGTAGTAATGTTTGTGAGGATATGTATAGGTCATATGTCATAATTTACAGGGAGCAAGGTGGGTGGTGTTTATTTTGACCACTGTACAAGAAAAGAGGGATGTTCACTCTCCTGAACGTTAATTAAAAATTGCTTCCTTATTCCTTACATCATGTCTTGCTAACCTGTGTAGCTCAGTGCCATATGATAGCTAATCTGAAGAGCTTAATAACATTCAAAAGTAATTAAACTTTTGGATGGATACCATGCCCTGTTATCTTATACAGGAAGAAGATAAAAACTCCAGCTTCAAAGATGAGTTGCTAATAACCAACACTGAAAAAAACTTGACTGTTGGTCACTGCTCATTAAAAAACTTGAGGATCAGTCATTGCTGCTGCTGAATTAGGAGAGAGAACAAGGGCAGACAGTCTGCTCAGAGATACTGCTTGCTGAAAAAAAACACTTTTACAAATGGTCTATTGTCTGGGCCACCTTGGTTTTGCTTTCAAAGCATAAAACCTCCAGAACCACAGATGGAATGACATCATGCATAGTGCTTGTCTCAGATGTTTGTTTGTATATAAACTAATACTGCAGTGTAACTGTCAGCAGCAAAACAACTGAAGCGAGTATTACAGTTATTGGTTGATTTCTATCAAGACAGTACACACTGGGATTTTTGGCTTTTTTTATCTGAAGATGTATGTTTACTATGTGTGATTTGTGTTGGCATTACAGGACTCCTACAGAGGCAGAGTGAGATTGTTTGTTTGTTCGCTTACTGTGGTGGGTTGACCCTGGCTCTGGCTGAATGCTGGGTGCCCATCAAAGCTTCTCTATCACTCCCCTCCTCAGCTGGACAAGGGAAAGAAAATACACCAAGAGATTCATGGGTTAAGATAAAGACAGGAGTGATAATTCACCAGTTACTGTTATATTGAAGTATGCACGGAAGACTCAACTTGGGGAAATTAATTGAGTTTTATAACAAATCAGAGTAGGATAATGAGAAATAAAACTAAATGGTAAAATACCTTCCCCCCACCTCTCCCTTCTCCCCAAGCTTATTTTAATTCCAAAATTGTTCATTTCCATGCTCTCAGTGGTGCAGGGGGTTGAAATGGGTGCTCTGGTCAGTTCATCACATACTGTCTGCTCTTTCCTCCTTGGGGGAAGGACTCCGCATTCTTCCCCTGTTCCACCATGGGGTCCTTCTGACAAGAGACAGTCTTCCACAGACTTCTCCAGTGGACTTCCCAGGGACTGCAGTTCTTCACAAACTGCTCCAACATGGGTTCTTCCCACTGGGATGCAGTCCTTCAAGAGCAGAGTGCTCCAGTGCGAGCTCCTCTCTCCATGGGGCCACAGGTCCTGTACTTTACATTAGTTTGCAGAATATAACAGATTTTTTTCTATCACTTTGTAAAAGCAACTTACATGGTCAGATTCATTGTATGAATTTGGTTTGGATCTTACAAGATCTAAATTAACAAGCATCTTAAAAGTATCTCCATTTTTTTGCAGGGTATTATAGAGAAATCGAAAGTGAAAGGAATTCCTATCATTATTGATGCAGTAAGTATTTTCTTGATTTCATTCAGTAGCTTAGCATTTAAGAATCTCTTCAGTAAATGTTTTCCTTACTGTGTTTTGCAGGATGGACTGTGGCTCATTTCCCAGCAGCCTTCTCTTATTCAAGGCTACCAGCGAGCTATTCTTACTCCAAACTATATGGAGTTCAGTAGACTGTATGAAGCCATGGTGAGCTGTTTGCCTTTTTGGTATTCAAGTATGTGCAAGTTTAGTCTTTTTGTCCTTGAAAATAAGTAACTTATTACTGGTTTAAGTATTATGTGCTGTTTCTTGTATGTGAGAGAAACACTCTCTGGGTTTTTATTCCATGGGATAATTGCCACAGCAGTGCATATTCTTTAAATGGGCTCTTCTTTAAAGAAGGCCTGCTCTCATCCATTTTTTAACATTGCAGTGGGTATAGAGAAAAAAATATATGGAGACTGATGATGTTGCCTTCCCTGTCCCCCCCCCCATGCATGTGTTAGAATATGTTGTTCTAGTAGCAAAACATGTACTGTGTATGGAATTCTTGTGTTGTAGCTTAGAGACCCCGTAGACAGTAGTGATCATCATGGATGTGTATTAAGACTCAGCCAAGCCATGGGGAATTTGACAGTGGTGCAAAAGGGAGAAAGAGATCTTATTTCAGATGGAGAGAAGGGTAAGTGAAGCCTTCTGCTTTTCAGCAGTGTGATTGTTCTGTTCTGTTTGTTTTCATAGTCCACTACAATGTATAGCAATTGGCTGTGTCCCCTGAAGATTGGAGGGATTGCTGCCTTTGCAGATCACCTTTACATGACTGTGTAAATTGATATTTTAAGAGTGCAGTTAAATTTATTTGCTGAAAAAAAGTTGCTGATTTTATTTCACATTTATAGATGTTGTGTTTTACATTACATGGGTATTGAGAAATTAATTACTTAATCTTCGTGAACTGCTGGGAAGTTCTGATGTGGTTTATGTAAGTGCAGCTGTCTTTGCTAAATTGATACAAAATAAAACTGTTAGCTCATGATGTATCAGTGTGTTGTGAGAAGTGAAGATGTCTTGAGGCTCATGCCCTGCTCAGTTCCTTGGTGCTGCAGATTAGCATGTACGTATATGACTTTACAGCAGTCCTGAGAAATTAAAAAATTAACTCTAGATTGCCATTGCAAGAGTCTCATACCAATTTGGTTTAAAGTGTACTTAATAAAATTGGCTACTTGTCTGATACTTGTTATACTGATCATTTACTGTGATCAGTATAAAATTAATTCATGAGTGCCTTCGTCACTTTTTTCCTGCATGGTCTTATTTCACATACATAACAAGCAGCAGCTCTGCTTTTAATTACTTGAACTGCTAATCTCTGATAAATGTTTATGCTGCTTCAGAACTGTTTTATATATACAGTCAGTTTTTCATTACTGGGAGCCATGGAAATGCTTTATAACAGAAAAGCAGATGTAATATGACAACTGGTTTGTGCAGAGCCACCTTCCACACACCCCCTTTTAGTGCAGGTACTGTAGCAGGCTGTGCAACAAGTGGGACCTGCAAGCAATATGGTCACAACTGTGTGGAAAAGGACCTTCCTCAGGTAGTACCCAGCTTTCCCCACAGGAAATCTGCTGTCATATTTGCACCCGGAGCAGACACTCTGGTTACACTTGATTTGTAACCTCAGACAGTCAGGCCAGGCTTAAGGGTGGATGGGCTCTGCTGGAGGATAAAAGGTCTTGACTCCAGTTTATGCCAGCTAGTCCCTTGTCATTGACAGGATTAAAAAAAAACAGGAAACAAGTGAAGTTCTTTCCAGTTTCAATTTTGAATGTTCATATGTGGCACAAGTTCATGTATGTCTTGTGTGCTTTTGGGGTTTTTTTATCGGTTTTATTTTTTTCCCCCACATTGTTAGCTGTCTCTGTTGTGTTCTGGTGTTTTCTTCCTTTAGTGAAGTGGCTTTTGTTTTGAAATAAAAACTTTAGTGAAGTGGCTTTTGTTTTGAAATAAAAACAGCTCTGTGCCTTTATAGCAGGTGATTGATGTCCAGATATAGGCTCCTTTCTTGTTCTTACCTTGGTGCTATCACTGATGCTTTGTTGGATTTCAGGCATTACAGGCAGCATTGCTGAGCTAAGAAAGCAGGTTATGCTGTCTGTTACAAGAACTGGTTTTCGAGTTTGCATGACCTTGAAGAAGGTTCTTGAGAATTTTGCAGAAATTATAGACATCAGCTTTCTTTTAACAACAATGTTCTTTGGGTCTGGTCTGCTGGTCATTTTTTTAAAAGCTTCTCAAATGCAAAATTATGTCGAGAAAGGAGATCCTACTGTGGTCTGTGCCAAACATGGAATATGTTGTCAAGTCACTGACCTTGAATTCTTTCCCAGGCTTTTTTCTCTTATTTTTCATCTGTCTCTTCTTTTGATCTGGTATCTTTTTTTTTCAGCTAAGACTACATACATGAGGGAAATCCAAGGTTATTGGATCGGGCCATTGTCCACTGAGCACAATGAAACATTATGAAAAGATCTGTGTACTCCTCTTGCCTTTTATTTATCATGTCATCATCCATGTGTAGTGCTTAAGCCCTACCTACTAGGCATTTCCTGCTTGACCTCCTGTGTTCAGCATACTGACACTGTAGTTTGCATGTATTACTTCTAAACTTTCTCCTTTGGGAAAATACTGCATGTGTGCTTTCCAGGAAAAAAAAAAAAAAAAAGAGAAAAGTAAGTCTCAGTGCTCTCCAGGAAAACCAGACATTGAGAAATTGCAAACTTAACCCTGTAACTTTAGTGTTTTATGTTTAGTTGTTGAGGAAGGAAGGCTTTTTGAAGATGCCAAATTTTGCAGCAGTGAACACTGGGTTTTGTGAATGCTTTATAGCTTAGAGTGATTGTAGTGGATATTTTCACAGTACTTTCATTCATGAGTCTGTAGGAAATGCAGTAGACAGTTTACTTCTGTTACCTGAAGACAGAAAGGGTTACCAGGTGATTTTGTGTCAGGTATTGCTGAAGAATTACTCCCAGCAAAAAGCTTTGTAATTCTGAATAATTCGACAAATTCTGATTGGAAGCTGAAGTTTAATAAATTCAAAATAAGATTTAGATAAATTAACTAGCACAGCAACATACCTGAAACTTTGCTAGATTCACAAACTTTGAAGTGTCTGGATGCCTCTAAAGTTTGTTTTCACAGGTCAGACTAGTTGGTGCTAGTTGGTGATTTCTTATGGCCTCAAGGTCTAACTGGCCTCTGTGAAAGCAGTAGCAGTCCCCTGGTATGAAGGAGGTTTTTTTTTAAAATTTGTCTCCATTTCAGTAGTGAGCTGCCAACTGGCCTGTAAACATAACCACCAGGATTTTAAATTAAGTTTATATACTCTTTTTCTCTTTCCTTTTGCAATTTCACATTATAGCTTGGTCTACAGTTGTTGATTCCGTGCTCTACAAAGATGAGCTTCACCATGCTCTTGGTAGGTGATATCAGTGCCATCACTGACCAGGGTAGGAATGAGTACTCAGCCTATGGGTAAAAGGTAAGTCAGCTTTTATTCACTATGACACAGCTCTCTAAGGTTATCCTTTTATTATTCTTTGGAGAACTGGTCAATAATAAAGTGTGGTTATACCAGCCTTAGTTCCTAACATGTTTAAAATTTGGTTAGGTCCTTGAATTGAAGCATTTGGATTTTGTTTTTTAAACAAGATAGTGGGTTTTCTGTGTTTGACCCTCCTCCCTCACAAAAGGCAGGCTCTGTGGGAACCATCCCACTACTGCCTGGGACTACTTTTACCTGGAACCAGTAGCCAGATTTGGTTTCTCTCCAGTTACTCAGCTGCACCTATGGTCCAAAGAAGTAAGGAAGCATGCAAGGCAGAATACTGAGTACTGGCTATGGGGGAAAAGCCAACTCTTGCCTTAAGTCCCCAATTAGAACTGCTAATTCCAGCCATTCATCTCCCCACACGGGTGGAAACGAAGCTGTTCAGTGCTTGTCACTGCCTGGCTCACTCACAGCTGCTGAGCAAATCTCACTCAGATTCACAACTGAGAGGCAGCACCTTTGTCTCCAGTCCTGCTTCTGCAGAATGAGCAAAGTGGGGAGGTGATGGTTCCTGTCCCTGGTGCCCCTCTGCTGTCTCTGGCACGTGCAGCCCAGCCAGCTTCTCCCTGGCACTGTTCACCTGGCTCCTGTGCCTGTCCAACAAAACTAATGGAAAATTTGGGTCATTTTCATCTCAAATTGCCTGCTTTATCTCGCACTCAAGGACTTACCTAAGTTTTAAAAGTGTGATTAGGGAATAAAAAAGTATAAGCACCCTTTATATAAAAGCCAACTTACATTTTCCACATCAGTTGAGTTGTTTCTCTAGCCAGAGTCATTAAATCTGGTTTCCCTGTCTGTATGCACTCTGGGACATTCCTGGGAATCCGTGATCTCCAGCCATGTGCTTTTGTGAACTAACTTGCAAAAGGAAAAAGATAAATTCCTTATTAGTTTAAATACATGCTAGGTCAGAGATGTATATTGGTAAGAAATTTTACTAAAAATCTGATAGTGGTCTAAATCTTGCATTGATGTGGCAAAATGGTCCTTGGTAGCTACATTATTTGCATAGAAAATGGAAATCTTAAGCCTTTTAATTAAGCTGGAGTGTGTTTGTTGTGTGGAGTGGCTGTTAGCTGATAAATCCAGTTGGTTCATATTAGAAGTTAGAATGGTCATGGATGGTCATACATGGATTCCTGACCACATTAGGGTGAGTGTAATACTCTTCCTCTGTAAGAGGAAAACAAGTGCAAGGAATTTGTTCAGGATGTCTGAGATGTAGGAGGTACATTTAAATCTCCAGCCTTTTGGTTTGCAGTCTCAATAAATGTGATATTTCATATAGGCTCTTCAACCTTCTTGACCATCATCCGAACAACTAAACTGTCCCATATTTCACATCCTGTGCTCTAAATGCAAAAGTAAAAGCCACCCCAGAGACTTATTTATTTTTTTACTACTGAGTGAATGTGGTGAATCAGGAACAAGCAGACACACACTACCTTTTGTAGTTAGAAAAACTTTGGTTTTCTAACTGTGATGTAACTAGGAGCTGGCATTGTAAATGGTGCTGCCTGCATACAGCCATATCATAATCTGTGCTTCCCAGTTAACTTGAAGTCCTTGAAGTCAGCAAAACTACTGCATTCTGATATATTTTTTTTCCTTCAAAGAGAGGACAGCTATTTTCAATTGCATAACAGACTGTTGTGTTTTGGTTTTTTAAATTAAGCATACAATACCCATAAATAGGTCATCCTTCTGGGCTTTTGGCAGCAGCAAAATTTGGGCTGGGAGTTCTTTCAGCTTAAAACTTGGAAGTGATACAGCTAGGTGTGACACCATAGTCTGAATGCTTTCACAAATATTAATGTGCATCTTACCATCACGCCCTTTCTTGAATATCTAGGAGATATTTTATGGCCTGAAATAAATTAAACACAGAGCCACTACATGACTTGGCCATAGTTACTCAGAAAGTCTGGGGCAGAGTTTTGAATTGTTTGAAGCCTAAAACTCTTGAGTTTCTACTTTACAATGTTCTTTCAGTATGTCAGTCTTCAATTTTTTATTTCTGTTGCACTCATTTCAGTACAAATTATTTCCATGGATTTAGGTACACAAGAAATCTGTGTGATTGTATGTGAGGGACGTGTTGTATTTGCTGCCTAAAGCTCTGGCAGTATTTATGTGATGTTTACTTGCTGAGACTGTGTTGAAACTGTTGAATAGGACTGTAGTTGTTCTGACTCTAGCAGATCTCCTTGCAGGCATTTCTTCAGTGATGACATTTTTCTTTCATCTAGCCTTTTCTTCAGATAGTATATGTGTGCTGCATGGATAAGTGCTAGGGAGTTGGGTCATTTCCCCTCCCCCCCCTCCCCCTCAGAGTTAATTGGTATAAATCAGATTTCATTAAAAAATGGTCTGCTACTTACATTGAGGTGGGTTTTCTTTGATTCTTTACCCTGAGAAATAATGACATCAGATTTGTTTGCTCAGGCCTGTTAGAAAACAGAACTAGACACCCTTCCCTACCAGCCGGCTTGACCAGCATTAATTGTGTGTTTCTGTCAGTGGAACTATAAGTGAACTTCTCCATTGTTTTGATCCAGACTGGTGTCAAACTAACTGACCTTAAGTGGTCCTGGCTGCTGCCTTTTCAAAATTGCCACACTGTGGTGGTTTCAGTCTTTGTAGTTTCCTTGTTGTCCCACATCCAGTCATCTCAGTCTCCTCAGCTCTTCTAAGAACAATGTTTTCTATGTTTGCTGATGTACATGCCCATCCCTAGTTGAATGTGCTACAGCCTCACTGAACAACAGTTCAAAACCAGCTTCATCCTCACGTAAATAGAGCGTAGTGCATGTTTCCAGGGAATAGAGCTGCCCCCCTGCTTGGCGTCATCGCTGACCCTTCAGCCGTGTCCAGCTAATCGAGGTCTCGTGACATTGCCACTGGTTGTGACTGCTCAGTGCAACATAAAGACACCATCCCCATGGTCCCTAAAGAGCTGCTGGAACTGTCTTCAGAGCAGGGCTCAGACATGCCCTGGGGGGGATGTTGCACTGGGGGAGCATGAAAACGGGAGTTCTATTTTGCTGTTCCAGGAGAAGGGTGGGAAAGGCACCCTATGTTGATTTGGCAGTATGCTGGTTTGTCTTGATGCCACTGTGGGATTCCTTCTTATATTTTAAAAGCTCTTAATAATGACTGTAATTCAGAAGTGTTTTTAAATCCTTTTCCCACTGCCTGTCGTCATGTTCATCATCCTTTTATTTCAAGATGTTCTTTGATCAGCCGAGCCTCTGCACAAGAGTTGTGTTTTGTATCTTTCCCTCCTCATTCAAGAGAATTTTCTCTAGTTCTGCTTCTTTGAAGGTATTCCATGGATTTGTTTTCCAGCATCTGTGTGCTGAGTACAAAGGTCTGCTTTTGTTGTTGCCTGTGAGGTAGTCTGCACATATTTGAGACTTATTTTTTAAAACCTCAAACAAAAGACCACTTTTTTTATTATTTTTTTATTTAGCAGAGTATTATAATTGGCCTAGTTTGAAGAGATCTTGCTTTCCTGTACAGCTCAAAAATGACTGGAAGGTTGTGGGGCTACAGAATAGAGGCAGATGGTGACATACAGCTAATAAGCAGGGGCTTGTGCTCAGCTGTCAGTCAGAAGGCCCCAAAGCTTTTGAACAGAGGATTTCCATCCTGCCTCCTGCCAGGAGTTCAAGCCCTCAAAGTGAAAATCCTGTGAGATAGCATCTTCAAAGTAGTAGAATTAGAGGTAATTTCTCCAAAGCACTGTATTTAAAATAAAAATAAGAATAAATCACGCCACCTAAAAGGGCATACCTTCTTCAGATCGCTAACTCAGAAGGGCATTACACTTGTGAAATTTGACATTAGCTACTGCTCACTGAGAAACACATCCAGAATCTTAATTTGAGAGGGGGAGGGGGAAGGGGGAGAAGAGTGATTGGGAAAATGAACTGCTGGCAAGGCTGCAGTGGTGTGTGCTGTGCTCGTGGTGACTAATGAATCTTTGCCCTCTCAGTGGCAGCAAACATGCACAACTGCCTGGCCTTGGAGCCCCACAGTTATTGCTGGAAGGATCGGTAGGAAATGGAAGTGAAGTGCAATTCTTCGAACTGGAAGGGGTTTATTGGCATTATGTAGTTTTTTACTGCTTGCTAGTTAGGAAGATGTTTCTGGAAGTCCTTCAGTTCTGTGCAAATTTCTTCCATTAGTTTGAAAAAGAAAAATGTTTTAAAATGTTAAAAATATGGGCAGTACTCCCCCTAAAATACCTGGCCTGCTCTTTATACTCCTTGAAGAAACTCAGCCCAGGCTTGAGGTAAGAGCTGTTGTCCAATCAATGCCTGGTCTTGCTTTATCCTTTGCTTGTATATTTGGCATGCTCAGCAGCACACAAGTGGTTGTGTGCATGGTCCTGAACCCTGCAGGAACTGACTGGAGATGCTAAGGATCACACTTGGGCCAGTCATGATTTTGCCAGCCCTTCCATCCTCCTAGGAGAGGAAAATAAATTTCTCCTGGGTTTTTTTTTTTCAGGGCCAAGCAAGAAAAAAACTAAGGGTAGGTACATATCCACAGAGGTAGCAGAATTGATGCTGTTTTCTTTTTATGTGCCTTATATGTCCTCCAGGCTTCCTGCTTGGGCTTGTTGAGAGTGGAGAACAAAGGAGTTAAATGTAGTGAAACCATTTGCGTATGTAGAGAAACCATTTGCATGTTCCTCCTGGTTAAAGCTGCACAAAGAGATCAGTTTGACCAAGGTCCTTTGTATATTTAAAATAGAAATGTAACATCTGATATCCTGACACAGCCTATCCACAGTGACACTGCTGACAGAAACATACACGGATGGTGAGGGCAGTGCCAATTGTCAGAAAAAATAAATCTGTCTTGCCTGCACTTTTACCAAAGCCTAAGGAAGAGGCTATTTCAGTAAAATATGTTCGTGATGGACATGGTAGAGCATTTGAGATTTGAGTTCTATTTTGCATTTTCTTTTTGTAAGCACCTTAGTTTACATTGGCAAACTCTGAAGGTCAGAGACACTCAAGAGTTGTGTTTGTGCAATGGCTTTCTGGAAGGACCTGGTCCAGTTTGGGGTGATGGCTCATGATGGCACATGAACAACTAAACTCACCAGTGCAGGCTGAGTGAAGTGGAGAAGTGTGCACATTGTGCAAGGTGATGTGCAAAGGATTTAAAGGTAATGAGAAAAGTATCTTTAAAAATGCTACTGCTTTTTTTTAAAAAAAAAATAGAGTATCAGCATATTCTACTGCCTGTGTTAAGTCTCTCACCTGGTAGTTGCTGTGTGTCTCAGAGGGTAACCCTTGCAGCCACAGTGCTGTCATTGTAAATGGAGGGATGAAAGCACATGACTTTGGTTTTGGTTTGTCTGTTCACAGTACTTGTGTGCAGTCATGAAGGAAGCAGCCGGAGATGTGGTGGACAGGGGGACCTCCTTTCTGGTTCTCTTGGAGTCTTGGCACACTGGGCATTTGTTGCTGGAGCTGAAAAAACAAATGGGTATGAATATTAATTCATAACTTAATTGCTGTGAGTCTGTGTTCACCTATGGCAACTGTTGTAGACCTGCTATTACATACATTTCCAAATGAAATTGGAGATTTTGGTAAGAAAGTATCTATGTACTTTTAAAAAGTATAAGGGTGTTCTAGAACAGTCTGTGTAACAGTAATAATTTTAATAACAGTCTGTGTAACAGTAATAATTTTAATAAGACAAACCCTTCAGTTATCTAACATCTCCCAAGTGTGGGTCAGAAGAAGAGCCTCTGGATCTGTTCACAAGGACATTTATCTATGAGGTATGTATTTTCAGAACATTCAGTTTGAATGTAGGCAGAAAGTAGAAAGGATAAATAAGTGGTAGTCATTGGCAGCAGCATCTCCATAATTCAAAACACATGTTGCTTGGCTTTGTTTCTTTCTGTTTTGGTGAATCTTCCTGCATTGTGGCTAAGTAATTCAGTGAGGCAGGTGTGTTGAAACTTGAAAATAAAATAGAATTTCAAAGAGTAATTCTTTTAAGGCCAAATGGCAGTCCACTTTGGTTTTACCTAAAGCAGACATGCAGATGGCTTTTGGCTTTTTAGTTAAATTTTGTCAGTTCCTGCCGAGCTAGCTGGTTCAGATAGTCATGGAGTCTTTCTGTGAAAGCATCAGCTTTAAATCAAGTTGAAAGGAACGTAAGCAGTCAGGGAGTTACAGTCCCTCTTCTCAGTAAGTAACAAGCTATGGAAGCTTGAGGAGTGGAGACCTTCTGTAGACTTTGGGATGCTGCATGCAGGTGCACAGTGTCAGATGTCCATGGGAGTTAACCAGGCAGTGCTTGTGTTAGCACAAGGGCACTGTACAAGGTGCCCCAGCAGGAATGAGTTGAACCAGGCTTCAAAATTCTGAAATCTAACATACAAAATCTTGGTTTCCTTTGTCGTTCTATGTATCTGGATTTGCAGCTGCCACTAAAGGAGGAAATCTGTTTTAAGTAGTCAGAAGAGTGACTTTATTTTTGCACAGGGTACAGCACAGCAGTATTAAATTGTTGGAGAGATTAGCAAACACAGCACGTGTTTTCCAGGCTCTCCTGACTTGAGCTCCCGTGGCTTTTCTAAACAGCTCGCTCCGAAACTCCTTTATTTTATAGATGAAGGAAAAATAATTGGCATCAGTAATGCATTGTGTCTCCTGCAGTGGTGTTAAGGTGACCCTTCACAGACACCTGCTGTACCAATCCTGCCTACTTCATGTTTTGCAGGAAAGAAGGAGCTTTCTGGGTTCAGTGAGTCAGGTCATCCACTTGGAGACTGCTCTGCAGGCAGTCCAGCCAGTCCTTCCAGCTTGTGTCTGGCTCTGGCATTTCAAAAGGGGTCTGTACAGAGAGGTTTTCAAACACTGAGAATGTGCTGGCTTTCAGGGGTGCTAGTGGTACAGTAGGTAGGGTTCCTCACTTGAGAGGATGCTGATGTGTTTGGAGTATGGCACTTCAGCTGCCTTGAGCCCAGGAGCCTGTTTCAGAGCAGTATTTGGGTATCCAGGATTAACTCTCACGGTGGCTTAAATGCTCCTACACCTTGATGAGTACATGGAAATTCTGCTTAGGTAGCACCTAATTGTGAAATCATATCCTGCTTTGCCTGTGTTTTACATTGGGATCCTTCACAAAACTCTCACCTGGTAGAAGAGTCAGGAGGTCCTTAGTGTGTTCCAGGAAGCAGTGCTTAGCTGAGGCTGAGCTTTGTGAGGTGTTGGATCAGCCAGACCTGGAGTGCAGCACTATTCTACAGTTGTTTTCTGGTTTAAGGCAGCACAAGTGACTCCCATGGCCCAGCCTACAAAAAGATGCTCTAGAGGTGAAAGGTGGAGGTGGCACTGGAACTGTGCTGGCTTCTCTGGGCGAGGTTCAGTATTACAGACCTGGGTCTGGGTACACTTTCCTGGGCAGCTCGTAAGTGTGTAGGAGGCATTACAGCAGTGTGCCTTGTGTTGTGGTCTTCACTTGCCACTGTACCCCTTTTTAAGCTGATCTAATGACAGCCCTGGGGCAGTCTCTATGGTCCTGCTGAAAATCATCTCTCGTCTGCATTCCCATGAACTTCCCCTACCCCTGCAAGACAAAACTAAATGCAGTTACCCAGAGAAGGGAGAAAGAAGAAAGGGGGTCAAAAGGATGTCAGGTGAGTCTCTGGTCTTTCTCTGGAGGAAAGCATGAAGCTTCACATCAGTAGAACTAGACATGGAACACCTTCCCAGCTTTTTAAGGCTGTTGTCCTTGTGTGTGCTTTGGCCCTGGTGGTGTTTCTCACTCAGTCACATGCTGTGCCATGGGTAGGGAAGTATTTGATTAAAAAAAATCAGACAAAGATGCTCTGCAGTGCAAGAGCAAGAGTTTGCTTAAGAGGCCTTCCTGGCAATGCTAACATTTGCAAGTACAATGATGATGTCCACCACCTTGTAAGTGCACAGAAGTGTTCAGATTCTCTTTATAATGTTGGTTGTTTTTTTTTTTCCTTTCAGTCAAAATCCCTTTCTAGTGGCTGCATTTGGAGCTTGCTCTCTCACGAGGCAGTCTAACCACCAAGCCTTTCAGAAATTTGGACGTTCAATGACAGCCTCTGACATGGTTTCAGAAGTTGGAACGGCTTTCAACAAACTTTTTGAAACCTGAAGCCAAAGGAGCAGAGAAGAAGGAAGAACAATGACTGCAAGAGTAATTACATGTACCGTAGAATTTACATAACGCACCCTTTCAAGTGCTGTAGCAGCATTGGTATGTTAGGTAGATATTTTTTATTTTTAAGAATAGAAAAATATGATTAATGTAGATATTTTTTAAGAGTTTGGAATACAAAAATGTTTTGGCTGAAATAAGCTGTAGTTGCAGATCTGTTCTAATATAATAAAACTAAACTGAAAGTATTCCTCTGTTCTTTTTGATAGTTATTGAGCAATAACTAAAGTGTGAACAGAAAAAAAGAAAATGCACTTGGTATTTAGATAAAATTCTTCCACCAGCTCAACTGAATTTCTTGGATTTCACCAAGGTTGTCACTTGTCATTCTTAGACCCTCTGTCTAGAATTAGCTATTGCACTTCATTTTTTTGCCATGCTAGTATAGTAAGAAGCAAAAAGTAAGCCTCTTTGGAAAGGGAACGCATGAGAGTTGCTGTAGATTTTGAATGTAATTAGTTGCCTTTTCCCATTCCCAGTCCCAGAGGCATTCATTTGGGCAAGGCATCCCTTCCTGTGGTGTCATTTTTTTAAAAAGGTTCCCCCTTGCTAGAATAAAGATATGCTATAGGTATCTTAGCAGTAAAATTCATTAAACAATAATTAGGCTTACCTGAAAAAAGAAAAAAATTTCTGTTTCTTTATCTGGTCTTGACTCAATACAATGAACTTGTGAAATTGTCATTTGGAGAGGTACTAGGTGGGGCAAGAAACTCGATGATAGCCAGCAGAACTGGTCCAGCTCTCAGTGATGATGATGGAAGAGTGAAGTGCTTTTAAAACTCCAGTTTTTGCTGGGTTATTGCTCAGAGCACCCAGCACACAGATCTGTAGGTGGACAGCGATGAGCCAGCAGGAACAGAAGTTGAAGGAACAAAAGGCAGCCCACAGCTCGTACCAGTACCCTCACAGCAGAGTGCACGCAGCGTACGCTGCAAGTCAAAGGCAGGAACAGAAATAGGGTGGTGGGTGTTTGTTTCAGGTGTAGTACTTAGTACTGCAAAAAGCAGGAGTTTTTAGAGCAAAAAGCATAGAGGCTTTTACTTGATCTTTGCAGGACAGACAGTGTCAGGGTCACACGGATCTGGTGCGCTGGCAGAGCAGGCAAGCATTAGGTGTAAAGCAGAACTTCCATGGGATTTTGCACAGGACCATTCCTTAAATTTTTTGAGATTTAGTCAAAGCTTGTTGAACCAGAGTGGAGAGGGAGGCAAGTTCATGCAAAGTAAATTTAAATGGGTTCTGCCCTTGGACCTCCAATCCAGCTCCAAGTGTTCCTGCTCATTAAAGCACCAGGAGAAGCAGGTAGCACATCTGGTTATTGCAGTAGATGTTACCTGTTCAGCACAGCCGCTCCTGCGGTGCTCTCAGCTGGAATGTGGTGTCTCACAGACCAGTCAGACTGTTCTCATTCCTTGCAACAGCTGCCTGCAGAAAGCACCCAGAATCAGAAAGGCTACTCCAAGTATTTCCCTTCAGCCTGTAGAGCTGGTATTTCTGGATGCACTGTGACTACTACCTCACCCTGATGCATTTTTCTTTTTAAACCAGTTACCTATTTTTAAAATAGGTTTTTAAGTATTTGCTTGTGTTGCTCTATGGGGGTTCACAGACTACTCTTAAGAAATTAGGTTTAAGTGTTTAATTTAAGCAGTTTTGTAAACTGTCTGCATCTTCGGGGAAACTTGAGCTATTATTTCCTCCCATTAAATGTATTTGAGAAACCTGACTACTTTTAAATTAAATCAGAAATTTAAAACTGATTTTAAAACAGCTACTGCCTTTAAAATAAGCTATTTTTTCTTGTAATTAGAACATCAATGGTATTATAATCTAAATTATGTGTAGGCAAAATCAATCAATTAACAGAGCTCAATACAGATTTCAACCTGCCCTATTGTTTTTAAAGCTACACATAAGTTGTAACTCTTGTTATTCACCAATGTATACAAATTGTTACAATTTTTAAACATTCTGGAAATGTAGCAGTTTCTTTTGGTAGGAAATAAAAATAATAGCAAAATGACTGGACTTTGTTTGGAGCTGATCCCATTTCGCACAGCAGCTGAGTTGCTGCTCACCATTCACTCGATTTCGCTAGAACAACACTGCCACGAGCAAATGTGCAATACCAGCTGTGTCAGATAAGCACCTGTGCCTCAGTGCTGAAAGAAGAGACACCCCACTCTTCTCTGGATGTACAGATAATGGAGAAAGGGAGCAGGAAAACAGTTACACATTTTATTCTCAACAGTATTAAAGAAAGCCTTTATCCTTTTGAACAGATACTCTGAAAGCACATAAGTGTCGTATAGGTGAACCCACCTTCTTGGTTCTTACGTTTTCATAAATTGATTTAAAGAAAGTGCAGATACCAGCCTTGTATCACCACAGGCCCTAGAACACAGGTCACCCCAGGTATAAGAGAGGCTTCTGCACCTCTGCCCACAGCCATGGCCAACAAAAAGGTAACTGAACACGTAAAGACTACGCTTATTTTATACTAATATATATACATCCTAATTTATCTTCCCAATTCTGGAGAGATCCTGAGTGTGCTGCACTCCCTGTGCTAGAGAAATCTCCTTGAATTCTGTGTGAAAGCAAACAGAAGATACCACGTCTTAGAGTAAGTGGATCCCATCATATTACAGATGAAGGTTTCACAGGATCAAAGCAATTCCACTGCAATAAGGACATACTTCCAAGTTTGAAAGTATCCCCTGTTCATTCCTATGTCTGAGAGGAACAGAATTGTCAAACTGACAGGCATAAAACTAAGTGTTTTCACCTTAAAGACAGGCCTAAATTCTTGCATCTGCCTTCACTATGTTTAGATTCTGTGTCAGGTCAGCAGCTCAGGGCAAGGGCAGATGACAGAGCGTTTGGGCTGGGGCAGTTCCTGCAGTAGAAGAGACCCATGTCTGTGCTAAGTCAGTGCAGCTGCTCCCATGCTGCCTTGTATTCTGGATGCTTCCACCACCTGTGCTGCAAGGCCTGTATTTATTTACCAAGTACTAGTGCCAACAGTTGCGCTCAAATTATATGCTATCGTTTTTAGCCATTCTGTTCAACAGATTTTATTTTGAAAGAATCAGTATTTACAACAGTTGCCAAAGTGATGAAATAAAAAACAAGTCCAAGGATGAAGGATCAGCTTTTTTTCTCAGTCTGCTTCTCTGTCTGCCCTCCTTCCACAATTTCCCAGGTTGAAACAGCAGTTCTGTCCTGTAAGAAAAAAGTAAGCAGATCAGTCCTGCCAGACTGGATCACAGGTTTTTAACCAAGATTAACTCAGCAAAGCTATTTATCCAACTGGGCAAAAGAGGTGGCAATACAATCTCACAGGAACACCACTGCTACTAATAATGCTCAGAGTTGTAAAACAAAATTAGACAAATTTTCCTAGCTCAGAGGGAAGAATCTGAGCTTAGAAATGTCACCTCTTCAGCATGGGATGCTGCAGCGGGGTGCAGCCTCTCACATGAGCAGCTACACTCAACTCATGCAATCGTATTTTCAAGTCTCAGTGGCTCATGTCCCTGAAAAAACATGCTCAATACATAATACATTACTGAACATGTTTGATCTGTACTCAGGACAGAAGCCAGTTGATTTTAGTATCTGTCATGTGATACTGTCGTATTTTTGAAAGGCAATTACAGCTAAATTGAACATTCTATTTAGAACCAGCTGTTTGATTGCAGTGGTTGAAAATAAAAGTTAATCTGAACATTGACACACGATAATGTTCCATGAGTGCCAACTCATGAGAGCAGCTGGAATTGTTGAGTATTTTTTTCACATGAAAACTTCATGCCTAAATACCCAGTTACTACATTTCACGTAGTAGCACAGCTTCCAAGCATGCTACAATGACATGAAAAGACACATGTTTTTTTTTTTAGTAAGTCTGCTGCAAGCTACGTAACTTCAGCCAACATCCTTTGCAATGAGCGAACAGAAGAAACCAGAGTAGGGAAATCACAAGCTAGAAGCTGAAGGAGGAATTACCCTTTCAACAAGGCTGATTTTTAAGAAAATTAAGCTTCTATTCGAGCCACCCCCTCCCTGCCCTGTCTCAAACCAGGGGAATTCCTAGTCTGCACTGGGTGGAGCTGAGGCGTGTCTGCTTCATCTGTTCTGCTGCTTTTCATCCTGCACATGGACTTCAAAAGTTGCTGGCTTGCTTGAGCCTCAGGTGACAGAAGGCAGTGTGTTGGCATTAATGCATGCACAGTGTGAGGCTCAAACATTTTGTGGAAATGAGGGGCTGGGCAGAAATGAAACTCACATAACTTTCTCAAGCACTTACTAGGCAAGCAGGACCCCTGTAAGGTGCTGTTTTACCAGGGCATTTTTAGGCATCAGCTAACAGCCAGGCAGACTCATGATGAGCAAGAGGGTGGGGAGATCCCTGCTTTGTGTAGGCTGTGTCTTGTTGCAAACAAGTTGCTTTGGTGAGCCTGTGTGAGGAATTGCAGCGTTGCATCACTCATTTTGCAGGACTCTTTGGGATCTGCAAAAGCAAGGTGTGAGCTAGTTTCACAACACACCTTTGGATACTTCCACAGTATCAGCAAAAAAAGCAGCTCAGCTTCAGATGCTTGCTGTGTGTGCGCTTGTAAGTGCATGTGTGTTTTGTCTTCTGAAGTAATCTATTCTGGGACAGATTATCCTGAACTTCAGGTTATGAAGTGTTTTTAAAGTAAATGGAACGGTTTGAATCCTGGCTCAGACTAATTTGCTGGGTTTTCAAATGTATAGTGGGGATTTACAAAGAAGTTAAAGGAAGCAGATGTTCCAGCTTCCCTTTCCTTTCACAGCTGCAGCTCACCATCACCACCTGGCCCTCACCCCGGTTCGTGTGGCACGCTCGCTGTCACCCGAGAGAGGAGAGAGCCCAGCACGCTCTGCTCTGACAGGAGCACTGACAAGTGACAGCTGGAGCCGATGTGTGCTGCCACTCCCTGATGTCACTGTGCTCTCCATCCTCCCACTGGTAAATATATGGAACCAGACTTGCCAGATCAGTTCCCAAGCGAAGGGAAAATGAACAGTATAAACTGGATGGAGGGAGAGATTGTGAAGGATTATTCTGTACTCAAGGAGCAACACTGACTCTCGCCTTACAGAGGCAAGAAGGGCAATGACCAAGAGGAACTGGAAGAAGCAACACTTTAAAGAA